GCCTTAGGTCTTATAATTTTCTTACCGCTGTAAGTTTGGGTCCATTGTCTAGTGATTATCAGATGGGTAATTGATTTTATCGCATAAGGACTTACAGTTTTTATAATTGCAATAGAAATTCCATCGCTGCCCACTGTTTTGTTACTTTCCGGGATGAGGTCTCTCAGCGCAATACGCGCCATGGAAGTCTCCAACTTCACTTTCAAAAAGATTGGAAGGAGAAGCTTCTCGTACTTCGGCCCAAAGCTGTACAACGACCTTCCCTCTATGAAAACTTTATGCCTTTCCATCTCTTAGAGTTAAAATTAAAGAATTGTACACGGACGATTAGTTGTTATTTAGATTGTTTTGTTTCTGTTTTATTATTGTTTCTATTCATTTGTTTGTTAGTATAGTTTTTGTTACTGTATATGTAGTTTGTATATAGGTACTGTGTATACTGTATATGACGAGAGTTGTTCTGAAAAGCATTTATCTCTCGTAACTCTCTTGTGAAATGCCACTGGCGTATAAAAAAAGCATTTGTACTGAGAAACCCTTGATCAATAAAGACATTTTTATTTATTCAAAAATGTAAAAACTAATATTTATCACTTCTTAAATTTTATGATCAATAAAACCAAACATTGACACCAATAATTTGGTAGTGCCTTTTAAAAATGCATTACTTTTTACATGGCTTTAAAGTACTGTATATTTTTAGACACTTCCCCTCCACCCCCACCAACGTAGTTGTTCAACTTACAGCTGGTTTGGTCACGCACACGGAAATTGTTCCTACTGTGTGCTTCCTACGCGAACTGAACTTGTCCTACTGAAAACGTAGTCAAATACAAACATCTTCAAAACAACAGGAGGGTTAGAAAAGGGCATGAGTATTAGGTGGACTGTTAGCCAAAATTACTGCATTGATTGGAAATATGCATCCTCAAAAAAGGTTTGAGGGATTTTTTCTTTCGTATAATACCACTGGTTATACGAACAAAGACTGTTATTAAATTAGTTCGTGTAAATATGTCTTATGATGATCGTATCGTTTTATTGTCATATTTAATAATTTCATCCATTAACATAGCATTGTTGTAAAAAGCAAGTTCAACAATGAAAACAGCTGATTTAAACGGAAATAATAAATGGTGAGGAAATACTAACGCGCAAATTGGAGACTGATTGAGAGCAAGTAAAAAATAATAAGATAGTTTTTCTTTTGCTCGAAATTAGAGCTTTGGAAACGATTATTTTCTTTGGCACAAGGTGTAATAGAAAAGAGCTACTTTATATACGGAGTGATTTAAAATATTACCAATTAAAAGATCAAAATTTAACACCGGCCTTGTTACAACAATTCCAATTAGCTATTTTAAACTAACCACCTAGCCATGAAATTAACGCACAGGTACATCAACAGCTGTTGGTAGATTATACGAAACATGTGGCTTTATTGAGGTTATAATAAACATATGGATTATACTGACCAAATACAGGTATAATGGGATTTACCTCTGATTTCACCACCGAGAAATAGGTACTATGAATAAATGTAAACCACTCATCTATCACTACATTTAAACATTCCTTCAGAGTAGACAACAATTTGGATATTTGAAATGACAACGGGTCTATTAAGAAAATTAATATGTCCGCAATATTACAGGTTTGAAATATTTGTTACCTGTAAAACCCTTGTCATGTAGCAGTCCCTAGTGTGCAAAATTACTAGGTATTCGAGACTCCAAACTGTCTAGCATTTTGAAACGTAGTACAACACCAAGGTATCCACAACCCAATCATCGTAATCGTACATTAGATACATGAATATCCCTGCCACAGCAAACCAACAAGCTAAACGAATTTCCATTTACCTGGCTCGATTTTCACTTAAATATTTCCTTAAAAATTTCAGGATATAGATATAGAATTTGAAGTTAGTAAAGTGGTAAAGTAATCCTTATCACGTCTCATCTTTGGAGGTTAGGATTGAAGAGATCATGACTATGCATCTAAGTCCTCCACTATGTCTTTGTAAAGATTTATGTATATTCAGTGTTTGTATTTGTCGAAATTCTATCCAACCGACAATATCTCAAGTAAGAGATGAAAAACAAAAAGTTTAGCTTAGCCTAGGACTGCCGATAATGCTCCGGCGTAGAAACGTAGGCCTCCAGAATAAATCAATTGGATCGTAAAGTAAACCTTAGATTATAACAGTCTTTAATAACAATCCAGAGGCTATAAAAAAAATAACCATGCTGCTCCGCAGCGTTAAAGTAAATATCACATCCGACAAATAATTAAATTTATGATTTTTGATTGAGTAATACAGTATATTGAGCTTAACTGATTCAAACGTTCAATGGCTCAAATTAAAGCCTATAATTTTCTGATTATTTTGAGTCTAAAACATATAAAAAAAACATAAACAATACTGGAGCTATTGATTTTTAATCGTAGAAAAACCTTATAATAAAAATAATTTTTATGATGGTTGATCACCTTGCGTTTGCTTGAAACTCGTCCAATTTGAATAACTAATAGCTAAAATAAAAGCCGGTAATTCACTGAAGGTTCTTAGACGAAAATAAGTTAGCCTATATAATTATAACTGGTGAAATACGTCTTAAAATGAAGTAAGAATTTGAAAATTGTACTATTCATAGAATAAATATAGTAAATAAAAATTGAAGCAATATGCTGTTTATGCACAAGAGGGAAATGTAGTATTAATTTCTAGCTTAGTTATTAGTGCAGTGTTGACTGATAGGGAATAGCAGAGTATTTTGCCTTATATTGTGGTACCACTGATAATTTAAAAATTAGCCGTTAGATAGGTCAGTGGAAGGTCAGCACTGGGCTAAGTTTGTTGAGAACTCGTCGACAAGGTACGAAATTATTTTAATTAATTTTAGATTTAAGTATTATTGAAAATTATGTTTTGTGATTATGTTTTACAGGTCCCCTAGGTTCTGTCAAAGAAAGATTTTAGTTTTAGTTATTAATGAACGGCTTATAACGTAATAACCAGTTGAGTCCTCATGTGATTTTACTCTAAATTTTGCTTATTTTATCCTTTTGAGAAATATTTAAATAAGTGGCTATATTAATACCTAAATCACTGTAACTATTTGATGTCTTACGAACAATGTTTTACTAATGTTTAATAATGTTTAAAGGGTCAATATTTAAATAGCCATGTGTTATTTTCAGGTTAGACCTTGTTTAGAATACATTTTATTTGTATATTGGGTAATGTTTCAGACGAGATTCAAGGTGAATTAATTACCTTATATACTGCCGTGGTGAATGTCAATAGCTATGAGTAGCAGTAAGAACAGCCCAGGGGAGCCTAACCACTGATTATGTCACAGTTTAAAGTAAGATCCACACATTTATTTTGTTTTGGGGTCTAATATAGCCAACTGTTTATTTAATGTAGTCTTATTTTTGAAGAAAGAATTTATTTTGGTTGTAACATGTCTTTTTGAATTTGAGTTCAAGTGAATAAACATCAATATCATTGAAGTGATTGGGATTTCCCATGCTACCTGTCTACCACTAAAGGATAGTAAATTTAAAGTTACAGCAAGATATACTATGAATTCTATTAACATTAATTACAAATCCGAAGTGTCATCAAAGAAAAACTTTTTTTTCTTAAATTGGTTTTGAGTGCATGTAGGCTACATAAAACCTCAGCATAAGGTTGTCTCCGACCTAATTAATAAATTTCCAAACTATTAAAACCCACGGACTATTGGTGGAATGTCTTAGGGAGTATAAAATAAATCAAATTTATGTTTTTGGTCGAGTAATATAGTATATGAATATATGCCGATGCTTGATGTGTAATCTATTCGTGCATACCTTCAATTTGAGACCTCAATCATGAAAATCGGTCGGGTAGAAGAGCCAAACGAACTTTGAAAAGAAAAGCCAAATTTAACTCCCGTAAGAAATACATGTGGAGCAAATTTCGTTTACGTATAAGCCGAGCGGGACTGTAGATAAATATATGCCGATGCTTGATGCGAAATTTGAGACCTCAATCATGAAAATCGTTTTTTACGCTCGGAAAAATCAATGTTTTAAACTATACAAGATAATTGTAATGCGTACTTAGGTTTTCTGCTCCGGGAAAATAAAGTGTGTTTTCTCAAACTTTAATAGCTTATTTGATCGACATAAATCCCCAAACAAGCAAACTACAACCATTGACTATATATAATATTACAACTGTGTATTTATTATCTATACCAATTACATGGGAATTTCAAGTTTCAGTTTTAATTTTCTCAGTTACCATTAGGCGTGCAAAAACGCTTTAACATACTCAATTGTTTGTTTTTAAGATCTTAAATTTAGGTTCAAAACGAAAAAGACCAAACATTGGGAAAATCAATGTTTACCCCATAAAACCCCGTTCCCAGTCCAACCAAGTTAACAAAGATGGTTTACACGTTTGAGCTGAATTTAATAAAAATCTGTTGAGTTATCTTGTTAAGGGACAATTTTATTTATGAATGCGATATGAATGCCCTCTGAGGACATTAAAAAGAAAAAGTAGATCGGTCCCGGGTCTAGTTCTTACCTCGAGATCTACTTAGCTCATTCCCTATCTACGAAATTCCTTAATAGTACATATCAAATTATTTTAGAACATATTTAACATTTAAACTGTGTTAGAAGTTCTCTCTGAATCTCTCTGAATACTATCTACTGCCTGCCATTTGAGGATAAAATCATATGTTATTAATTGTTATGATCTATTTACTTTTTTGTTTACTTTTATCAGTTTTGTTCTCAACCATGTTAATAAATCATCAATTGTTTTTCATCTCTTTTATTTTGTAAAAACTAATCACTCATACTATCTATCATTAACATTATTGGTCCTAAATCGAGCCGGATCAGCAACATATCAAAACACTTGTATCTATATCACTGAAATTTTATTCATCAAAATTTATTTTATGTCTACCAAAATTTGAAAATTCATTATCATTATGGCATCACTGGAATCAAAAATAAAACTCCAAAAATCAAGATTACAACACCTGGAAAATGCTTCAGCCTTTTTCAAAAACAAAGATACATCTACTATAACTAAGGCTCAACTACAAACAAGACTTGAAGTTTTGGAAGCAGACTGGAAAAAGTTTGACAAAGATCACGAAAGGATCTGTGAGTCAAAGACCGAATTGCTAGAAAATCTCGACTATCTAAATGAAGACCACTACAGCCGCGGAAAAGAAGCTTACCTCATCAACAAATCGGAAATGCTGGACCTCCTTGACTTAGTCTCAACGTCATCTCTCCAAAATGCAAGTATTACAGAAATTAGTATATCCAAATCTTTTCTTAGACCAAAATTGCCTCAAATATCTTTGCCACAGTTTGCAGGAGATTATCAATCCTGGAAACCGTTTAGCGATCTTTTCGATTCTTTAGTAATTTCTAATCCTGACTTAACTGATGTAACAAGATTACATTACCTCAAAAATAGCTTGGTAGGCGAGGCTGCTCAGTTGATATCTAGTTTTCAAATCACTGAGGAAAACTTTATTCCAGCTTGGGAAAAACTAGTAGCTAGATTTGAAAACAAACGGGTCTTGATTAACAAACATCTAGATGACATTTTCAATATCCAACCTTTAAAACAAAAATCTGCCAAAGGTCTTAATCATCTGATCTCAACTGTAAATGAGAGTTTGGGCTCACTTAAATCTCTTGGCTCGCCGATCGATCAATGGGATCACATCTTAGTATATCTGACTGTTCATCGTCTAGATCCTGATACACACGAGGCATGGGAGCTTCACCAAGGCGTATCGACGGAACCATCATCGCTGCAAGACCTACAGACCTTCATCGAGGGACGTGTACGGGCTTTGGAAAACATCAAAGCCAGGGAAGTGTCTCACTCGAGTGGAATGGTAAATCTACCAAAACATCAAGGTAATCCTCAGCATTATCCAAACATCAACACAGCTTTGGTAGCTGAATCTAAACGAAAATATGTATGTAAACTGTGTAGTAATGCTCATTACATAGCATATTGCAAAGAGTTCCATACTAAAACACCAGATCAAAGGAAAGACTTCTTATCAAGTAACAGGTTATGTTTCAACTGTCTTGGCCCTCACTTGCTCAAAGAATGCCGATCTCAAAAATCATGTGTGAAATGTGGTAATCGCCACCATACATTGATTCATGACGTTGTCAGTAAACCTTTTGATACATCTAGTCAAATCAAATCCACTTATCAAACACCAAATCCACTAAATACGGAAAGAAAATCATCAAACACACCACAAGTTTCCTCAAATCACTCTCTTCCCACTGTAAATCGACACACAGTTCTTTTAGCTACTGCTCAAGTTGGAGTAATCAGCCCGAAAGGTAACAACATTGTATGTAGAGCTCTAATAGACCAAGGCTCCGAAATTTCCTTTATCAGCGAGCATCTAGTGCAGACTCTTCATATTGAACGCTCCTCATCCTCACTCTCTCTTATCGGTATCGGAGGAAATCAATCATCAACTACTCGTGGATTAGTGTCCATTAACATTGGGAGTACATCTAACGACAAAGTCATCTGTCCGTTAACAGCACATATTCTACCAAAACTCACGGCTAACTTACCTACTATGACACCAGGTAAATCTAACTGGCATCATATCAAGGAGCTTCAACTAGCTGATCAAGATTTCATGACCCCTGGATCTGTAGATTTGATACTTGGAGCTGATGTTTATGGAAGTATCATTCTTCCTGGACTTATCAAGGGTCCGCCTCTATCTCCTATCGCTCAATCAACCATCTTTGGTTGGGTGTTATCTGGGCCGTGTGGACTTTTCATCAATGACAATAAATCATCAATGTATCATTGCCTACTGGAGAACAAAGTAGATGATTTACTTCAGAAGTTTTGGGAACAGGAGGATTTTGCTAAAGATCCAGTTCAGGTTTTATCTCCTGAAAATCAAACGTGTGCAGAACACTTGCAATCAACACACTCTAGGACTGATAGAGGAAGACATGATGTTAAACCCTCACTAAAGAAGTCTGCCACAAATCCGGAATATGACAAACTCATCTGCGTGGAAACATTGAAGACCAATAGCAAAATTCTGCTCTCTTCCTGCCACAGAATAAAATTGCCCAGTTCCCTGTTGCAATTTGGGGGGGAGTATGTTAGAAGTTCTCTCTGAATCTCTCTGAATACTATCTACTGCCTGCCATTTGAGGATAAAATCATATGTTATTAATTGTTATGATCTATTTACTTTTTTTTACTTTTATCAGTTTTGTTCTCAACCATGTTAATAAATCATCAATTGTTTTTCATCTCTTTTATTTTGTAAAAACTAATCACTCATACTATCTATCATTAACAAACTGCAATCCAACTTTACATCCCAATGACGAATGTTGTGTCTGTGTACAGTAAAAACGGGTACTCTTTACCCCCCCCCCTCGTGCGACTGTGGGGGGGGGGGTGGAAGGGGGGCCATCAGCGATGTGAGCCTTTCATACTTTAGAGTAGACAAAGCATCCTTGTCATTACGGGGCCACTTGTCTTTATGTATGTTTCTTTGAGTGTGCTTGGGGCTTACGCGACAATACAAGCCCAGGTTGATACCCTGGACATGGCTAATGAGATTGGCTGTGACTTTTAATTTCACTTTTGAAATCATTTAGTTTGTTTTTATATATTTTTACTAAGGAGGGAATTTTTACGATTTCCAATTGTTAAAGTACTACCCCAGTTTTTTTTTTACTTTCAAACTCATATTTGTTGATAAAATATTGTAATCATAAAATTGGGAAAAATAATAACGGGGTAGAGAATAATTAATTTTTCTTCAGATCTGTATGAACACTAACAATTATGGCAGACCTACTGAAAGTACAAGCAGATTATGTAATGAAGTTACGAGGGTCTCATATACATACTTTCCTAGTATATAGATAGTATTAGTTTGAAATATCCTGGTAAAATCATTCTGAGCATAATTTATTAGTTTTCCTGATTTGTCGTGTTCACCATTAACTAACTATTTTTAATTTACAATGATTTTATAAATGTCGTTGCCAATAATTTGAAGGTCACGACTTTTATATAATTTTACATTACATTTAATATTTAGATTGAGTAGTTGGATCAGCAGTTTCATCCTTCGTCGTTATAAAATATATTTTGCCACAAAAATTGCTTTTCTGATACTAAATCAATTACAAAACACATAATTCATTCAATTACAGACTGCCTGTATGGCTGTATGTATAGTGTATACCTAGCTGGCGCTGTAAGTTTGTCAGGGTTTATGTAGAACAGAAGATTCACCCACGTATAGAGTAGGCCTACTGTACCTGAGGAACAGATCCACCGGAGCGCGGGGCGGGCGAGGAGGGCGGCAGACTCGAGGATGGGCTATCACAGTTGGTGGGCGGCAGTCGGAGCGTCTGCAACAGAAAACAGCTGTTTTAACATCAACTGTCTTAAATGTGTGGTGCATATTACTTGAACATAGGTTCAATCCCAATCTGGATCCATTCTTGGCCCAGATTTTGTTTGTCATTGGGCTATAAATTAAACAATTACACTATCTAAGAAAATATTGACATTAGATACAAGGCCGCAGTTTCAACCGATCTCTTGCAAAAAAAAAAAAAAAAAAAAAAACGGTTGCGTAAAATACACATTATAACAAAGCAAAATCATGAAATATTACTTTACTTCGAAATGGTGATCATACGAATCTAGGCATTTTAAACCTACATGGAGTGTAGGATGAGTATCTTGTAGTCTTGTTAGTGACTAAGGCCGACATATTCCTTAGACACAGCTGTTAATTAATAGCCCATACAGCCAATGCCAAAAAACTTACAGTTTATAGTGGAATCAGAACCACATTTTTGCCTTGTAATTAACGAATTGGTGTAATTCTCAGGATAGTACTGCGGATAGTCGTAGTACTCACTAGTGCGGACGTTAATCCACAGGGAGTATCGAATCCACAGTGCAAGCCTATAAATATCCACAATGTTAACTACTCCAAATGAGATGTTTACATCCATGCTGTAATAATCATGGACATGTCTTGGGTAAAAAAATCTGTAATTAAGTTCAGATAAGTATTAAAAATATAATTTTTTACTCCAAATGACATACTATACACTCTACTAACTCCACGGGTTTAAAAACTTAATTGCAGACACACATTTTATGACACAATCTCGCAATTAATTTTTTACAATCGGCGAATGTTCCGGTTTTCCAGTAATTTCGTCTTGTACGATCCTTGGGTCTCGTGGAGGAACTAGAGCGTGTCCGGGAGGAACATGAGGGTCTGTGACACTCGAAGAGAAAAGAAAGCAATTAACAGTGAATCAATGTCGTAGTGGTGGCATTCGCGGCCCACTAGACTGGAGACATTGAGTCTAATGGACCGATGTTTCCTGGGCCTTGTGCTGTATGCTGGGCCGCTAGGGCCGCTGGGGTGAGGTAGGAAGGAAACGTGAGGGCAACATTGGGTGTGAGAGTGGTTAGCGTGTCCTGGGTGTGAGAGGCGCTGCTTTGATTTCAGCACATCTACAAACTATATAGAAGATTTCTCTTGAAATCGTTTAGTTGAAGAGTCTTACAAAACCCTATTTTCATACAAATAAAGTCACTAGAATTGGTGACTCTTGGGTTGTGGATGGATCTCATAATTTTATATACGAATGAGAGACAAAACGGAACATCATGTAATTCAATGTGGTTATGCCATTATCTAAGCATAGCCTGTTTAGGACGAACCTCAGATTTCTGAGTTCCAATGGTCTAGCTACAGTGAAGATTTTAAAATGTCTGTTTTGGTATTTACGTAATTGACATTTTGGCAAGTCCATAAGACATGCAGACGTTCTTTATTGTATTTTGAACGAAACTAAGTTGGTTAGAATTTTGTGTGGTATGTTGACTTGAAGTAACCTTTAACGTGCAAAAATAAGAAACAACTTCAAGGGATCATATGGAACACTTATGTTATCCATTATCCGAGAAGCTACTTGATCAATAATATATTAAATCGAACCCAAATATTCTCACCATATCGAATTGAGTGTTTCCAATGTAAATTCCATATAAACATCATAAGCATGGACAAGTGTTCTGTTATATTTTTAAACCTCCTTTTATGGTTCCTCTTTCATCCAAAGAGAGTACAGCATCTGTTCCGATCTCACAGATCTACTACATCCATATAATACCCCCGCCGCAGCAAACCTGCAGACTAAGCGAATTTCAACTTGTCTGACTACATTATTACTAAAATATTTCCATGAATAAGACATATTTAGGCTATTCCCAATTTAAATAACATTAAACGATTTAACGAGTGCTTAGGTTTGCTGATACGGGGAAGGTAAAAAGTGTTTTTTGACCATACGTCATTAGTATTGGATAAAATTAATAAATTTGCCAAATTTTTAGCGAATTTCCCTATAGGGAAGTACCCCCGCTGCAGCAAACCTGCAGACTAAGCGAATTTCCATATGTCTGATTGGATTTACACTAAAATGTCTACTTAAAAATTTAATATTTATTTCCTATTTAAATAGAATTATTTTAACAGGTACTTAGGTTTGCTGCATCAGGGAGGGTAAAACTTTTTTTGTAAAATGTTAATAGTAAGTAAGAAATAAAAACATTTTCCAAATTTGATCAAAATATGTTCATAAACAAGCAAACTACAACAGTTTACTCATTCTCCATAAGAATAACATGGGAATTTAAAATTTACATTTTTTTTGAATTTTCTCCGTAACCATTAGGCGCATAATAACACTTCAATATACTAAATTATTTGTTTTTTTAAGCTCTACAAAATGGTTTGAAAAGATTTTGCAAAATTTTATGTTTTTTGGGTCAAAAATGGGAAAAACCTATTTTTACCCCATAAAACCCCCCGTAAACCCCCGTTGCCATAGTCCGATCATGCTGGTTCGCGAACTCGTTCGAGTTTATCCCGCCTTACACCTTCAAACCAAATTTTATCAAAATCGGACAAAAATTACTCAAGTTATCGTGCGGATGGACATATATATATATATATATATATATATATATATATATATATATATTCATAAAGTCAGCACCATTGTTGATACCTTAAAATGTGCTGCAATTGTTGATACCACTTTCCATCGTATATATTTTTTTATTTTGAATCCTACGTTACAGTGGATGGTATATTATTAAGTTTTATAAAAATTCAGACTTATATATTGTTATATATTTAGTTTATAGTCATGTATAACCAATAGTAATCAAAAGTTGATCTTCTTAAAAAATATCACCTCAAGTTGATACCTCGACCAATATAGAGCCGCCATCTTGCATTCATAAAAACGGCACCAAAGTTGATACGTTAAAACACCTGACTATGTTGATACCTCTTTCCGTCGTATATATTGGTTTATTTTAAAGCCTATCTTATGGAAATAGTTTTACTTCTTTGTCTTATAACATCTTAGACTGATACTTCCTTAAATGTTTAGTTTATAGTCTTTAATAACCAACCAATAGTAATCAAAAGTTGATCTTCTTAAAAAATATCACCTAAAGTTGATACCTCGAACAATATAGAGCCGCCATTTTGCATTCATATAAACGGCACCAAAGTTGATACGTTAAAACACCTGACTATGTTGATACCTCTTTCCGTCGTATATATTGGTTTATTTTAAAGCATGTGTTATGGAAATTTGTTTACTTCTGTGTCTTATAACATTTTAGACAGTTACTTTCTTATATATTTAGTTTATAGTCTTGTATAACCAATAGTAATGAAAAGTTGATATTCTTAAAAATTATCACCTCAAGTTGATACCTCGACTTGTATAGAGCCATCATTCTGCATTCATAAAAACAGCACCAAAGTTGATACCTTAAAACAACTGACTATTGTTGATACCTCTTGATACGACAGCGCTCGGCCGAATCTAGTGGCGTCCACGGGAACTATCGGCCCAGCCAAAAATATTCCGCCGCGCCGATCGTGGGATCGCGATTTGACTACCGGAAGTCCACTTCCTGTCTTCTTTTTATCTTCTGCAAACTACACTGAACGTTATTTTTTAATTATTTCTGTAGCTAAAATATGTCTAGCTGTCTCGCAAAGCCTTCGTGGATTTATGCTTAAATTTTCTGTTAGTCAACGTA